TTTCCAACTACTACTAGCTAATGATAATCAAATTATTAGAAATAATAAGTTTAACATTATTTTAGTGAAAAAAGGTCTTTGATAAATGACTCCCTCACGACTCGATCCCCTACCGTCCAGTCTCTATGCGCCGTCTTATACCATTACACCACCGAGTTTCTGATGCGATTCCTCTGAAGATAACATACTTATAAATCTTATGGATTAGGCTCATTTAATAGGAATGCCATGAATAGCAGACAAAGACAATTTGAATAGCTTTTGTTTCAGAAAGCCGTCCGGGAATTGAATTAAAATTTGTATTAAAAATTATGAAAATGAAAACCTTAGTGGAGATGCAATAAATCAATTAATAATATACATGAAAACATTACTCAATTCTGATTGGCTGATAACATCTCAATTAATTCTTAATTCAGTGCAATTACATTTCTGCAGAGCAATTACAACGTACTGAGCAGTGCAAAAAGCTGTAATATCAGTGCAATTACAAACAAATTTGCGCTTTTGATTGGCTAAGAAACAAAAGAAATGATTTCAGCCAATAAGAATCAAGCTTTCTTTGTAACTGAAAACTTTTCTCAAGAATCCAAGATGGCGGACACTTCGCCAATAACAGAGAAAAAAGTACTCAAAAACTATCAACAACTGCTTAAAAGAAATAACAAAAGCTTTCTCACTGAAGAATTGGACTAGGAGTTTGTATTTGTGAAGTTTCAAGCTTGCTAGTTGCCATTWCAAGACGATTTTGCATCGAAAATAGTCTCGCCTTCCTCACCCGTCTCGCCCAATGTAAGAGAATCAAGAGAACTAGAGGATTCCGGATTCCAAGCGTTGGATTCCGGATTCCGAAACATTGGATTCCGGATTTCAAGCCTTGGGATTCCGGATTCCAAAGAATTTTTGTTTTAGATTCTGTATAATAAATGGCCTGATTTTCAAGGTTTTTTTTCCTGAAAATTTTATATTCAGCGTGTCAGTAGCCTGCGCAGGGGCGTCAGCGGGACGATGTCCTATGTGTATTTTAGATATCAAAATGTTTGCTGGATTCCAGATTATGGATTCCAAATATTTGGATTCCGGATTCCAGGATAGGGATTCCGGATTCCAAAGCTGTTTTTTTAGTGGATTCCGGATTCTCTTGCACGGGGCGACTCGTCCAGCTCGATGGAATTCAGTACAGTTTCAACGGGAAACCAGCTCAAATACTGGCTTTTTTTCCACATTAGCCAGTTAAAGGTATTTTTCTGTTTAATTGACAATGTTTTTACTGTTCAAATTCAAATAAATTGCTTTAAAATGGAGTGAATCATGTTTTTTTTATCAGTAAAAATGACAAAGTACACGTTTTGAAATTTGTTTTGCTTCAATTTTTTTGAATTCTTTTGTACAAAAGAAAGCCTAATATGTTATAAACTGGTGTTTTTTTGCTAGCTCTGATAGTAAGACAAGTGTAATAATTGTTTGTCAAGAAGAAAATATAAAGACTTAGTATGCATTGATGATATTTTGCTTACATGTCGTTTTTATCGTTGGCTCCTTGTCTAGCCTTGTCAGTTTTGGCTTCAAT